ATGGGGGGGGGGGGGGGCACACGGGTGGTATGCCCAGCACAGTGCTTGGTGTGCGCTTGGTCTCCTGCCCTGGTCTGGAGACCAAGTGCACACGGTGCTCAGGGACTTGGGGGGGTGGGGGGGGCGCGGGGCAGAGGAGAAGGAGGGGGAGGAGGAGGGGGAGGAGAAGGAGGGGGAGGAGAAAGGGGGAGGAGAAAGGGGGGAGGAGAAGGGGGGAGGAGAAGGAGGGGGAGGAGAAGAAGGGGGAGGAGAAGGAGGGGGAGGAGAAGAAGGGGGAGGAGAAGGGGGGGGAGAAGGAGGGGGAGGAGAAAGGGGGAGGAGAAGGAGGGGGAGGAGAAAGGGGGAGGAGAAAGGGGGAGGGGGAGGGGGGAGGAGAAGGAGGGGGAGGAGAAGAAGGGGGAGGAGAAGGGGGGAGGAGAAAGGGGGGAAGAGAAGGGGGGAGGAGAAGGAGGGGGAGAAGGGGGGGAGGAGAAGAAGGGGGAGGAGAAGGAGGGGGAGGAGAAGGGGGAGGAGAAGGAGGGGGAGGAGAAGGGAGGAGGAGGAGAAGGAGGAGGAGGAGGAGAAGGGGGGAGAAGGGGGGAGGAAAAAGGGGGAGGAGGAGAAGGGGGAGGAGAAGGAGGGGGAGGAGAAGGGGGGAGGAGAAAGGGGGAGGAGAAGGGAGGAGGAGAAGGGGGAGGAGAAGGGGGGAGGAGGAGGGGGGGAGGAGGAGGAGAAGGAGGAGGAGGAGGAGGAGGAGAAGAAGGGGGAGGAGAAGGGGGGAGGAGAAGGAGGGGGAGGAGAAGGGGGGAGGAGAAAGGGGGAGGAGAAGGGAGGAGGAGAAAGGGGGGAGGAGAAGGGGGGAGGAGGAGGGGGGAGGAGAGGGGAGTAGGATGGGGAAGGAGGAGGGGGAGAAGAAGGGGGGAGGAGAAAGGGGGAGGAGAAGGGAGGAGGAGAAGGGGGAGGAGAAGGGGGAGGAGGAGGGGGGAGGAGGGGGGAGTAGGATGGGGAAGGAGGAGGGGGAGGGGGGGGGGAGCGGGGTAGGAGCCTTCTAGCTCCCTGGCAGGGCGCTGCCAGCCCAGGGAGGAGAGGCGCCCAGAGGAGGGCGGGGGCCTGGAAAAGCGGGGGCAGTGCCGCCCTGCTCCCCAAGGGCCGCTCCGGGTGGGAAACACCCGGCCATCTTCCTTCCGAACAGCCTGCCACCTTTCAGCGCCAGCCCTCTCCTGAGCCCCTGGCCGGGCGGGGAGGCCACTGCCCCGGCCTGGCGGGCCGAGCTGGCGGCAGGGGGCGCGGGAGGCCCCTGCGCACGCCGCCCGGCGCCCCCGCCAGCCCGCTCGCCGCGCTCGGCCTCTGATTGGCCGCCCCGCTCCCCCCCCCAACCCGAGGGCTGCGGCAGCGGCTCCCGCGCAGAGCAGGCGGCGGCCGCGGCAGAGGACGGAGCAGGTGGGCGCCCACCGGGGCCCGGGGTGGGGGCGGGGGGCTGGGCGGGGGGCTGGGGGCTGGGCTGGGGGCTGGGCTGGGGGCTGGGGGGCTGGGCTGGGGGGCTGGGCATGTGCGGTGAGCCCCGCAACCCGAAGCGAGGCCAGGACTGGGGGCTTCGCACCAGGGGAGCTGCGGGGCGCTCGCTTGAGGAGGTGAGGAGGGAGAGGGGAAGGGGGAGGGAGAGGGTAGGAGGGGGAGGGGGAGGGGGAGGGGGAAGGGGAGGGAGGTGAGGAGGGGGAGGGGGAGGGAGGTGAGAAGGGGAGGGAGGAGGGGGAAGGAGAGGAAGGGGAAGAGGGGGAGGGGGAGGAGGGGAAGGGGAGAGGGAGGGGAGGAGGAGGGAGGTTGGAAGGTGAGGAGGGGGAGGGGGAAGGGAGGAGGGGGAGGGTGAGGAAGGGGAGGAGGGGAAGGGGGGAGGGAGGGGAGGAGGAGGGAGGTTGGAAGGTGAGGAGGGGGAGGGGGAGGGGGAAGGGAGGAGGGGGAGGGTGAGGAAGGGGAGGAGGGGAAGGGGGGAGGGAGGGGAGGAGGAGGGAGGTTGGAAGGTGAGGAGGGGGAGGGGGAGGGGCAGGGAGGTGAGGAGGGGGAGGGGCAGGAAGGTGAGGAGGGGGAGGGGGAGGGAGGTGAGGAGGGGGAGGGGGAGGGAGGTGAGGAGGGGGAGGGGCAGGGAGGTGAGGAGGGGGAGGGGCAGGGAGGTGAGGAGGGGGAGGGGGAGGGAGGTGAGAAGGGGGAGGGGGAGGGAGGTGAGGAGGGGGAGCGGGAGGGGAGGGAGGGGAGAAGGAAAGGAGGGGGAAGGGGAGGGGGAGGTCGGCTTCCCGGAGGAGGGCGGGCGGGGCAGCCTCCGGGCCAGCGGCTGGAGGGGAGTTGGGGAAGGGCCCAAGGACACCTTGGGGTCCGCTCTCCACCGGAGGCTCCAAGACGCGCTCAGAAGGCGGGGGGGGGGGGGCGGTGAGGGGGTGGAGTGGGGGTGCAGTAGGGGGCGGTGAGGGGGCGGTGAGGGGTGGAGTGGGGGCGGTGAGGGGTGGGGTGGGGGTTGAGGGTGCAGTAGGGGGCGGTGAGGGGGTGGAGGGGGGCGGTGAGGGGGTGGAGTGGGGGTGGAGTGGAGGGGGGGTGCAGTAGGGGGGCGGTGAGGGGTGGAGGGGGGCAGTGGGGGGTGAGGGTGCAGTAGGGGGTGGAGGGGGGTGCGGGTGGGGGTGGGGTGCAGTAGGGGGCGGTGAGGGGTGGAGGGGGGCGGTGAGGGGTGGAGTGGGGGTGGGGTGCAGTAGGGGGCGGTGAGGGGTGGAGGGGGGCGGTGAGGGGTGCAGTAGGGGGCGGTGAGGGGTGGAGGGGGGCGGTGAGGGGTGCAGTAGGGGGCGGTGAGGGGTGGAGTGGGGGTGGGGTGCAGTAGGGGCGGTGAGGGGTGGAGGGGGGCGGTGAGGGGTGCAGTAGGGGGCGGTGAGGGGTGGAGGGGGCGGTGAGGGGTGGAGTGGGGGGTGGGGGTGCAGTAGGGGCGGTGAGGGGTGGAGGGGGGCGGTGAGGGGTGGAGTGGGGGTGGGGGTGCAGTAGGGGGGCGGTGAGGGGTGGAGGGGGGCGGTGGGGGGTGCAGTAGGGGGTGGAGGGGGGCGGTGAGGGGTGGAGTGGGGGTGGGGTGCAGTAGGGGCGGTGAGGGGTGGAGGGGGGCGGTGAGGGGTGCAGTAGGGGGCGGTGAGGGGTGGAGGGGGGCGGTGAGGGGTGGAGTGGGGGGTGGGGGTGCAGTAGGGGCGGTGAGGGGTGGAGGGGGGCGGTGAGGGGTGGAGTGGGGGTGGGGGTGCAGTAGGGGGGCGGTGAGGGGTGGAGGGGGGCGGTGGGGGGTGCAGTAGGGGGTGGAGGGGGGCGGTGAGGGGTGGAGTGGGGGTGGGGTGCAGTAGGGGCGGTGAGGGGTGGTGAGGGGGTGGAGGGGGCAGGGCGCGCAGCCGGGAAGGAGGCGGTGAGCTGGGCGCTGGGCCGCAGAGCCGGGCGGGGCGGGCGGGGGAGCTGGAAGCGCTGGGGGAGCCCCGCGGGGGCGGGAGGGGGCGCGGGGGGGGCGGGGCTTGGCGGGGTCTGGTCTGTGAGAGCCGCAGCCCGCGCCCCGCGCCCTCCCTCTGCCTCGCTGCAGCCTCAGCTCCCGCTCCCCACGCTCGCGCCTCTCCAGGGCTCGGGTCCACGAGCCAGAGCCGCCCCCGTTCTCTGCGCCCCAGGGCTGCTCTGGCCTGGCCGCAGCCCCCAGCCCCCCCCCCCCCCAGCCGCGGGCCCAGCCCCCCAGGGGCCCAGCCCCCAGCCCCCCAGCCGCGGGCCCAGCCCCCCAGCCGCGGGCCCAGCCCCCCCCCCAGCCGCGGGCCCAGCCCCTCAGGGGCCCAGCCCCCAGCCCCCCAGCCGTGGGCAGCGCGGGCCTCCCTGGCGCGCAGGTGCCGGGCCGGTGCCGCTCTGAGTCGCCTGCGGTTGCAGAGAAGGGGGTGGGGGGGAGCCCAGGCCTGAGAGCGCTGAGGCCGCCCGGAGGCCTGCGGGGAGAGCTGGGCGTCTGGAGCCTCTCGTTTCCTCTGCAGCCTGACCGCGGGCAGCCGCCGCCCCGCACCGCACCGCCCCGCGGGCACCCCTCCGCGCACCGCCCCGCGGGCACCCCTCCCCGCACCGCACCGCCCCGCGGGCACCCCTCCCCGCACCGCACCGCACCGCGGGCACCCCTCCCCGCACCGCACCGCCCCGCGGGCACCCCTCCCCGCACCGCACCGCCCCGCGGGCACCCCTCCCCGCACCGCCCCGCGGGCAGCCCTCCCCGCACCGCCCCGCGGGCACCCCTCCCCGCACCGCCCCGCGGGCACCCCTCCCCGCACCGCCCCGCGGGCACCCCTCCCCGCACCGCCCCGCGGGCACCCCTCCGCGCACCGCCCCGCGGGCAGCCCTCCCGGAGCGGGAGCCTGCGGTGCTGCCTGGCCGCGGCCCTGACCGCAGAGGCGGCCCCGCCGTCCTCTCCCCGGACCTCACAGCCCGGTTCGCCGGCGCCCGGCCTTCATCCCTGAGCACCTTGGGCGCTGCCGCCCGGGAGCGTGGACACCATCCCTCAGCGAACTCGGAAGCCCGGGGAGCGGCCTTGTTTCCCGGGGGCAGGCGGAAGGCGTTGGAGCCCGGCTGCGCAGGCTGTGGGTCCGGCCAGGGCGCAGGCCTTGGTTACGGTCCCTCCTGGCCAGGACATACTGAGGCAGCCTGTCTCCCTCCCTCTCTGAACGTCCTCGGCTGAGGATTAAAAAAAAAAAAAGCTGAGTGGTTGAGGGTGCTGGTGTGTGAGCGCTGCCACCGTTACAAGTAGGAGTCCCTGCCTCCCTGACGGTGAGATCGCAGAGCCTGCGTCCCCCCTGCGCCCCCCCAGCCCCTCCCCGCGCTCCTGGGGAAGGAGGGGCGGCCGGCGGCCGCTGGAAGGGGGGCCCGGGCTGCGGAAGGCTTGATTGCCTCCTGCGCCTATGGCCTGTGTCCCGGCCCCGGCCCCTATGGCACGCCGGCTCCTCTCCACTGACTCATGTTCCCACCCACAGACCCAGGACCGAGCGCGCGGCACCATGAACCCCGTCCTCAGTGTCACTCTCCTGCTGACAGGTACTGAGCACGGGCGGCGGGGTTCCAGCAGCCTGGCTTCCTCCTGTGGAAAGCCGGCTGCTTCCTCCTGGGGGGCGGGGGGCTGCGGAGGGAGGCTCTTCTTTTCTCTTTAAATGTTTATTGATTTTTACAGAGAGGGACGGAGAGGGACAGAGAGTAGAAACATCGATGAGAGAGAATCATCCATCAGCTCCTCCTGCACACCCTCCACTGCGGCTGCGCCTGCAGCCAAGGCACATGCCCCTGCCTGGAATCGAACCCGGGCCACTTGAGCCAAACCGGTCAGGGATATTCTTTTTTCTTTTTTCTTCTTCTTTTTTTTTTTTTAAATATATTTTTATTTATTTCAGAGAGGAAGGGAGAGAAAGAGAGAGAGACATCAATAAGGAGAGAGAATCATAGATCGGCTGCCTCCACACCCCACACTGGGAATCGAGCCCACAACTGGGGCATGTGCCCTGACCAGGAATCGAACCCATGACCTCTTGGTACCTGGATCCACGAGGCCCCGGCAGAAAGGGTGCTTTTTATCCCTCAGTCAGCGGCGCCGATTGCCCTGGCGGCCCGGGTCGTTTGGGAGCTCCCCAGGTGTCCTGGCCCTGAGGCGCATGGCGGACGGAGCCCGGGGTGTCTGGGGGAGGGCTCGGCTCACAGGACATGGGGGGCTCAGAAGGCACTCCCTGTGCCCTCCAGGGCGGGCCCTCTGCTGTGAAAGGAGGGAAGCCTCCTGCTGGGCAGCCCCCACCCCTCCCGGCCGTCCCCTGCTCAGAGGGGCGCTGTGGGGCAGGCTTGCAGGTGGCCAGCACACAGAAGGTGACCAGCCTGACGGCCTGCCTGGAGGACCAGAGCCTGCGCCTGGACTGCCGCCATGAGAACACCACGACCCTGCCCATCCAGTTCCAGTTCAGCCTGACCCGGGACGCCAAGAAGCACGTGCTGTTGGGCACCATCGGCGTCCCCGAGCACACGTACCGCTCGCGCACCAACCTCACCTACAGGAACACCCTCAAGGTCCTCTACCTGTCCGGCTTCAGCTCCCGGGACGAGGGGCTGTACGCCTGCGAGCTGCACCTGCCCGGCCAGCTGCACGTGTCCCAGAAGAACATCTCTGTGCTCAGAGGTGAGCACCCACGCGGCTGGGCAGGAGGCTGCAGGGACGCAGGAGCGGGCAGTGCTCCGCTGGCCAGAGGGGGCGCCTCAGCCTCTCCCCTTCCCGCGCCCTTGGGAGTCCCTGCCTTCAGAGAAGGGGCGAGGGTCAGGGCCAGTCACGGCCTCCACCATGACCCGGCCGCCACGGCCTCCCTCTCCTCACCCAGTTTTGTTTGGTTGTATTTTTGTTAATTCTCGCCCGAAGATATTTCCACTGATTTTAGGGAGAGAGAAGGAAAGACAGAGAGAAACATCGACATGAGAAAAACACATCGATTGGTTGCCTCCTGTGTGATCCCTGACCAGGCGGGCAAGAGGCCTGCAGCCAAAGTACATGCCCTTGACCAGAATCGAACCCCGGACCCTTCAGTCTGCAGGCTGACTCTCTACCCACTGAGCAACACTGGCTAGTCACCCCCAGTTTTCCCGTGAGGATGTTAGCAGGGTGGATATGATGTTAGCTCAAAGACTCAGGACCCTGCTCGTGGGAAAGGTGGTTGGTTCTGCTGGACCAGGTTGGCCCTGGTTCCGGCCCAGAGCCTCATGGCGCCAGCCTCCCCAGGGAGCCGGCCATCTCCCCGCAGGGCGGCCTGGGCTGCTCCTCACGCCTGCTCTGCCCTCTCCCTGTCTCTCCCCACAGACAAGCTGGTCAAGTGCAGGGGCACCTGCCTGCTGGCCCAGGATGCCTCGTGGCTGCTGCTGCTGCTGCTCTCGCTGCCTCTCCTGCAGGCCATGGATTTCGTCTCCCTGTGACCTGTGACCTGTGACCGGCTGGGCCACAGAGGACGCAGGAAACCACAGGCCCTGTTCGGTCAGCTGACCCCTCCCCCAGTCCCTTAGACACGGGGGGGGGGGGGGGGAACCCGCCCTCATAAGGAGTCCTGTGCTGCATGCCATCATCTACCCACTCCCCACCCCCGCGACGCCACCCTCCACACACCACTGGCTTCTCGTCCTTGCTCCAGAGCTGCTGCTGCTTCTGTAGTGCATTCAGGGTTTTCCTGCCTTTTCTTGGGGAGTTTGTGAAAAGGAAAGCCAGGCTGGGGCCTGATGGTGAGGACGGGGAGGGGCTGTGGGGCAGAAGGGTGCCTGTGGGAGGGAGGTGTGCTTGGTGCAGAGCCTCAGCAGCCCGCCCAGACTCGGGAGCTGGGGCCTGTGGTCTGTATGTGAGGGGAGAGCTGGGGCGCCTCCCCCAGCCTGAAGCTGGCCCCTTCCCACAGCCGGCCTCCCTGGGGCCGCGCCCAGCGGCTGCTAACGGGCGGAAGGGGTGCGGGAGGGCCCTCCTCTCCCTCCCAGGACGCTGGAAGGGGCCTGCTGCCTCCCAGCCCTGAGCATCCCAGACGCTGACCTGGAGGCGGTGAGGGGCCAGGGCGCCCAGAGCCACGGGGTTTGGCCCCAATGTTTCCTCCCACCATCCCAGTCCCCGCCGGTGCCGGAGCCTGACCCCTGCCCACAGCCTGCTTCTGGGGGCCTGGGGCAGGCCCTGAGGAATGGGTTTCCCGACACCCAGCTCCGCCGCCTGGCAGCTCTGTCTCGCCCTGCGACACGCATTGTGCCCCGCTTACGGCTTCCCCGTGAGGAGGAAGAAAGTCACAATAAACCAACCTCTGGAACCTGTGGTCCCGGCTCCGCTCCTTCCACCGCGGCCCATCTGGCCCATGAGGTCTGACCCGCCCCAGGGGTCGCCGAGCGTGCGGCCGCCCAGAACCGCTCTGGTTAGCGGGACACACCTGCCCTCTGCGCGGGCACCTGCCCACGGTGACCCTGGCCCTGAGACATGCTGACGAGTGCTGAGGTGGCGCCCTTCTCCTCCTCACACCTGGTCCTCGGGAATGCCTGCTCCGGTTGTGCCTGTGGGGGGCATGTGCTGGGCGAGCAGAGGAGCAGGAGCGGGCCCATCAGCAGGGGAGGGGAGCGCCGGGGCCCCTGCTCAGCTCCCTCCCCTAAGAGGCCATGTGCAGGCTGCACTGCACACATGTCCTGGCTCAGGTGCTAGGACGGCCGGCCGGGCCCAGGTCCCCGATGCCGGCAGCCTGAGGCTCCCCCACGGCCTTCCCTGCTGGGCCGGGGCCTGGGGGAGGCGGTGCAGGCACCAGGCCCTCTTACCCCGTGGTCAGCTCTGGGTAGAGTGGTTCCTTCTGAGCACTTGGTAGAAGGCCCAGTATCCAGCCCGGCCAGCCTGGCTGGTGGCTGAGCATTGACCTATGAACCAGGTCAGGCACATGCCCAGTGTGGGGTGTGCAGGAGGCAGTTAATCAGTGGTTCTCTTTCATCATGGATGTTTCTATCTCTCCCTATCCCCTCCGAAATCAGTAAAGAATAAAATGTATTAAAAAGATAGGCTTAAAAAATAAACTAGTACCCAACACTACTGAACTGCACACTTAAGAATGGGTAAGATGGTGAGTTTTCCATGTGTTTTTACCACAATAAAAATAGTGCAAAGTCAGGTTCCTAGAGAGCCGCAGGGCGGTGGCCCGGGCCGGAGGGCGGGCGGACGGAGCCGGGGCGGCGGCCGCGTCTGCAGGCACCGGCAGGCGCCGCGGAGCTCCAGGGCAGCAGCCAGCAGCGGCGCAGCGCTCCGGCTGGCATGCGCGCCCGGCGCTCCAGCCGCACGCTCACGTTGAGGGGGGCCCGGCTCCTGTTCGTGTGGCCTCACGCAGTGCGACGGGCCCACCCGCGGAGGGGGCAGGAGGCCGCGTTAACACAAAAGACCGACTCCGCTACTTTTTAGTGGTTTTTATTGATTCTTACAGAGAGGGGAGAGAGAACAACTATGAGAGAGAACCATTGATTGACTCTCTCACATTCCCACTACTGGGGATGGAGCCTGCAACCCAGGCATGTGCCCTTGACCGGAATTGAACCTGGTGCCCTTCAGTCCGCAGGCCGACCCTCTATCCACTGAGCCAACCAGCCGGGGCTAAAACCCAAACTCCTCACCATGACCTCCGAGGCCCTCTGGGACCTGGATCTCATCCCCGCGGACACCTTGTCCCACGCCCTCCCTGGGCCCGCAGAGTGTGCCCTCACCGCCCTGTGCTGGGGGCGCCCCTGCAGCTCCTCAGGGGTCTTCCCATCTTCAGGCCCGCTCCATGGCCACATCCTCGGTCTACCCCACGTCCCGGCCAAGGCTCCACCCTTGCTCTCAGACTCCCTCCTCCAGGAAAGCCACGCAAAGCTACAATCATCTGATTCAGGCACTGGTTTACTGGCGTGCTGCTGAAGAATAACAGTAAGAGCAAGAATTCAGGAGGAGCCCTCACCGGTTGGCTCAGTGGACAGCGCAGCCTGCCGACAGGAGTTCCAGGTTCCACTCCCAGTCAGGGCACATGCCTGGGTGTGGGCTGGATCCCCAGTGCGGGGAGGAAGGGCGTGCAGGAGGCAGCCGGTCACTGATTCTCTCATCACTGATGTTTCTCTCCCTCCCTCTCCCTCTCTGAAATCAGTAAAAGCATATTTCTTTTAAAAATCAGGAGGATATTGCAATAGTCCTAAAAGAGATGATGGTCATCTAGAAAGAAACTGTGGTGGCAAAAGCAGAGAAGTGCTTTGAGATACAGTTAAAGCTGAGATCTGAACGTGGCCTAGGATTTACCAGGATCGGTCCCCTGTTTGGATTCTATGCTACAGCTATGTAAGATGTCACTGCTGAGGGGACCGCTTTTTGCTATTGTTGCAATTTCCTATAAATCTGTTATTTTTAAGTGAGTTGTTGTTAATCCTTACCTGAGGATATTTTCCCCATTGATTTTTAATGATTGTAAGGGAGGGAAGGTTAAAGAGAGAGACATCGGTGTCAATTTCCCTCCCACACGTACCCCAACCAAGTGTTTTTAATTCTCAATAATCCCCCCAAAAAAGCCACGTAGTAACTCCAGAGGGAGGGGAAAAAGAATTCCAGTAGCACATTGCATGGCTTATCTGAGAATAATATTTATACAGTCACACTACCATAAACACTAAACGCTGATTTTTAACCAAAAATTATAATAAAGCTAGGTTGGAAGATGGGAGGATAAGGGTACGTGTTTGTGGAGAGGGCAATGTCAAAAGTCAAAGACAATGCTTACATCTGAAAAGCCAAGACATCACTATATGACAAATATTGAAATACAGAAGTAAATAGTAGAAAAAGTAGCTAAAATAATTGAGAATATTATTTGATTGATTGCTTTGAGGAATGAAAATTTAGGATGGGGTAACAGACGGCTCTTACATTATAAGCTTAGTAATAATTTATCTCCATAAATATACTGGCTCACTAAACATTGTAAATCAAACATATTTAAAGAAATATATTAATGCTTTCCCCCCCCCAAAAAAAAAAAAAAAAAACAGAGAGGACTTGCTTACTAGTGGTTTGAAGGGGGAGGAAGATAGAGGGGAAAGGGTTTGAAAGGAAAAGAAGACTACTAAGTGACTCAGGTTTTTCTGGAACAATGAAGGGGCAGTGATGTCACCCACTGAGCCAGGAGAGGTGGGGAGGGCTGGGGTGGGACCTGCCCATCAGCACCCAAATGGGAGACTGAGAAGACAGCTGGGGTGAGGAGACAGCAGCGTTGGGGCGGGTAGGGGTCAGCGGGGGCGGTGAGACCACGCAGGGAAACGTTACAGAGACCTGCGGTCTGAGCTGGGCAGGACTTAGGGTTTGGGGAAGCAACGGAGGCTACAGAGCATCAGCCAGGGCCGTGCGCCAGAGAAGAGGAAGTTGTTTTTTGTGGTTTTTTAAAAATAAATCTTTCTTGTTGAAAGTATTACACATACTTTCAAAGTATTCCCCCCCATTGGCTTAGGGGTTGAGCATCGACCTAGGAGCCAGAAGGTCACGGTTTGATTCCCCGTCCGGCCACATGCCCAGGGTTGAGGGCTCCATCCCCAGAAGGGGGCGTGCAAGAGGCAGCTGATCAATGATTCTCTCTCATCACTGATGTTTCTCTCCTCCCCCTCTCCCTTCCTCTCTGAAACCAATAAAAGTGTTTCTTAAACGTAGTGATTAAATGATGCACTTTAGATTTTACACTGGGCAAAGGGGTGCTGCACAGAGGGTGACAAAGGAAGGGAGATGAGACCGGGGGTTCACAGGGTGAGGCAAAGGCTGGGCAGAAGGAGCAATAGTGCAGCGAGGCCAGGCGCCTCTCCAGCGCCTGGGAGGACGGGGCGCAGGGACACACACCCAGGGCTGTGGTCGCCTGGCAGCCACCCCACTCACTGTGGACGGACAGCCTGTGGAGAGAGGGTCTTTGCTAATGAATCGAGTTCGATGCAGTCCCAGTGCAGGAAGGTGGATCCTGTGAGACAAGGGAGACGGCCCCAGAGACGGGGCTGGGCCCACGGCCATGTGAAGGCAGAGGCAGAGGCTGGCGTGAGTGAGCCTTCCACGAGCCAAGAAACCCCTGGGCCACCAGAACTAGAAGAGGAAGGAAAGTCCGTCGTGTGTGTGTGTGTGTGTGTGTGTGTGTGTGTGTGTGTGTGTCCCAGCTGCAGAGGGGGTGTGGCCCTGTGACACCTCCTTTGTGGCTTCCAAAAGGGTGAGAAAGTGAGTGTGTGTGTAAGGCACAGGCAGAAATCAGCCCTACAGCCTGGCAACGCGGCCCCTGAAAGCAAATGAAACCAGGCTCTGCTTCGGGGAAAGGTGCCCCCTCGGGCACAGGGTCCGTGCGCGCCCTGGGCTTGGCTCCCACCACCTGGGCTCTGGGTGCGGCCGGTGTGGTCATGGGGGGGCCTGCTCGTAGGCAGCCGGAGCCTGGCAC